AAGTTAACCATCCAAACACACCTTAACGAATCAGACGAAATAAATTTTCAACTAACTTTCTCAAATGGCTCTAAAAATTCCCATTAGCATATCCATGTACTCAATTTCGATTTCTGAACCCTTAAAAGTCGGCAATTTCAGTTTCAAGATTGTAACTCAACAGATAATTCCTCAATTCAAACAGATATAATTAAATTAAAGCACATTAATCCATAATTACATAAAGATAATTTCTGATACGCATTTTGGGGTCGTTACACACCAACTTGGACATAGTTATAGGATGGTTTTCTGATTGCCAAGCCACTTTTGTATTGATGTCCAGAACTTGAAATGCCCTTCTTTTGTTGCTTCTCAACCAACAAAGGTGACACGTGATTAGAAGGCAAGAAGTGCTCCTTGAGCTTCTTTCTCATCTTCCTCCACTCTCTAACCTTTTATTGGCCTTTTCTTTGCCTACCAACTTGTAATTGTTTCCACCAATTGGAGGCATGGCCTTTGAGGCTTTGATAGATCAATTTCAATTTCTTGCTTCCGGCACATCATAACACTCCAAATGACTCTCATTTGTATTCAATCATTCCTCAAACATATCTGGATTGTAGCTTCCATGGAATTCGGGAAACTTTAAATTCTTGACAGTGCCATTCCACTTAGAATCAAATCCGTGTGAATATGCTCTATCATCGAGTTGATGATCCTTGAAACCATTACTACCTTTGGAAAGAGGTTGCAAGTGTTGTGCTTTTCCAACCAAGGTAGCCACTTGTGAACTCAACTCTTCAATCCCATTCCTTTGGAAGTGTTTGGTTTAGTTCTGAAAGATAATTTTGCGAAAAGAATTTTGAAAATTCAAAACTTGTTTGGTTATGAGTTTTCAAAACTATTTTTTTAGTTTTTTTTGGGTCTTGTAGTCAAAATTTTTTGCAATATTATAGTTAAATTTGTTTACTTCTTTCATATACCTAATCTAAATTTACTTTTTAGATGCATCTAATCTAATCTATAGGGCAAAGTTTCACTCCATATTTTTTATTTTTTATGAACGTTTTAAAAATTTTAACACTTCTTTTCTGGTTTTACATCCATTCAATCTACATACATTTAAAATGTTTCACATTTAAATGTAACTTTTTATAAAATTACTAAATATTGAGAAATATACAAAAATAAAAATAAAAATTGACCCAGTTTAAAAATTAATACAACTATAATGTTTTATGTATTTATTAAATTTGTTTTTGAGTTCTTCACATTTTGTTTACTATTTAAGTCTATCTAAATCATATACATCTAAAATATAAAAAATTATTTGACCAATACTTGAAAACCAAACAAAATAAATTTTGTGAAAACCCTAAGCCAAACAGGTTTTGGGTTTTGGAATGAGTTTTCAAAAACACTAAACCAAATAGGTTTTGGGTTTTGGAATGAGTTTTTAAAAACCCTAAACCAAATAGGTTTTGAGTTTTGGGTTTTGAAAAATTGATTCAAAATTTTAATCAAACGCACCCTCTGATTTTGATTGCCATTGTTCCTTTCAATTTCAATTGAGGAATTCATTTTGATTTCTTCACCCAAATTTAGAGCATAAACCCTGCCATGGCCACCTCCTTGACCTCGTTGAACCATACACAAGCAATTCAATATGCAAAGGCACAAAAGATCAACAAAGTCCAACCCACATGCAACCCAATTCCCAAATCAAGAATTAACTCCTAGCAACAAGAATCAAGTAATCAAGATTCAATAACCAAGATTGCAACATAATGTCAAGAACTAAGAATCAAGATTAATGATTGTGTATCACAACATCAATTTAGAACAGTCCCAATGAGCATACAAAAGTTGAATCAATTTACCCTAATCAAGCTGAGAGCAATAAGCAATTCGAGATGACCCACTCCATTTTGCGAATCAATTCAAGGCTTCATAGGAGGAGATCGCACATCGAATCTGTATTGCTTGGAAGAGTCACACAACTCGATCGAAGTTGGATTTAGAGTTGCTAGAAGAATTGCAAGTCGCAACTACCAATTCTAGGTCCAGCTCTTGATGTCAAAATCTAGGTCACGACCTTGATAGCTTGATTTGAAACAAGCAGAGTCGAACCCAGGAACTCAAGAATTGTGAAGAAGGAATATCGTATTTTGAAATCTAGATGCGACTTTGATTTCAAATCACGATGTGATTTTTGTTTCTGAAAATGGAAGTCGACTTCACAGATCTGGGTTCAACTTCGAACAAAGCTAAGAACTCTCTAACAAAACTGCAAATAGAGGTCGATCTAGGGTCTCGATGTGAACCCAAGTGCTGCGAACCAGAGATAAACACCAATCCTTTTACAAACAGTTGGAATCGATGATCAGTGGGCCAAGAACCTGGTCAGATTCTTATGCTTTGATACTAAAATGATGGAGCCAAATCAAGAAATGGATTTCATTAGAGAGAGAAAATCCCAAAATGGGTACATGAGCTCTCAAGCTCTGAAATATTTAATATCAAAATATCATATACTGAAAACTAGAGGGGCCTAACCACCCAGTTATAGGATAAAAGCCCAACTAACTCTAATGGAACACATAACAGCTATAATAATTCTAACTAACATCAATATATTATTTGAAAGAAAGTTTTATATAGCATTTGTTGCCAATTCATTTGAATTGGGAGTTGTGCAGCCGTAATTGTTGACTTTTGGTGAATAGTGTTAACTTTTTAACTTTTTGAGTAACTTTTTGACTTTTTGGCTTATTTGGGACTTCCCAAACTTAGCCTTAATATCAAAATATCATATACTGAATACTAGAGGGGCCTAACCACCTAGTTATAGGGTAAAAGCCCAACTAACTCTAATGGAACTAAAACATAACAGCCATAATAATTCTAACTAACATCAATATATTATTTGAAAGAAAGTTTTATATAGCATTTGTTTAATAATGCTAGTTTTTTTTCAGGCCAAATGAAATAGTTGTACTCAAAATACGTGCGCTCAAAATATCTATCCTCAAAATACGTTGCTAGGAAAACTGGCAGCATGTAGTTTGAGGATTTGAGGTGTTAAGATCCTTAAACTACATACCGCCAGTTTTTAAATGGAGGTCAAGGACTAGCAAAAGAAAAAACAAAGGTCAGAGAGGATCTAGAACCCTATTGACTTTTAAAACATAAGAAAACATGAATGAAGATATAGCCAAGTTTAATAATGCTAGTTTTTTTTCAGGCCAAATGAAATAGTTGTACTCAAAATACGTGCGCTCAAAATATCTATCCTCAAAATACATTGCTAGGAAAACTGGCAGCATGTAGTTTGAGGATTTGAGGCGTTAAGATCCTTAAACTACATACCGCCAGTTTTTAAATGGAGGTCAAGGACTAGCAAAAGAAAAAACAAAGGTCAGAGAGGATCTAGAACCCCATTGACTTTTAAAACATAAGAAAACATGAATGAAGATATAAAAGCTTTAGAAACTGTTGTCAAATCCATAAAATTCAATTTAAGTTGGAAGTTCACTTAGATATATATTGACCTGGTAGACTAACTCAAATTCTACTTAGATTATGGTTTCAAAGCCAGACAGTTGAAGTGTCAATGGTTGAGAATATCATACAACTGTGATTTGAAATTCCTAATTTTCCTTTTTGCCCCTTGTTCTCATGAGGCTATGACCTGTATAACATTGGTGGACCTGATGGCCCTAGTCTTCAAAGCTTTGGTTAAATCTTAAGTCAAACCCAAATGTTTGACACCAGTCCTCTTGTAGGTCTCCTAGTTCTCTTTCTTCGGCCTCTTTATTTTCATTTTTACTATTTTTGTCTACCGTTCTGCTATTTCTCTGCAAGTATGAGATTTCCTAGTATCTTTTTTGCTTCTGGGTCATTTGGTTTTTGATTTTTCTCTGCAGAGATTAAGTTGTTTTGACTGAAACTGCTAACTTACGAATTTGCTCCTTCTTTTCCATGCCATGGCCCTGTGAAACCAAAAAACTTCAATCCTTTCAGGCAAAAGAACTGGACTTTTAACTTTGTCATGGTTAAGGTTAATTTGAGTCGTACTTTATGTTTTTATAAGTATTTGGCTACTATATTATTTTATTCTATGTTTTGGTAGGTTTATAAGTTAGGGGTATTTTGTTGATATTGCAATTTGTTGAAAATGAGTTGTAGGGTTACCCATGGATCTTCTTATGAGTGAAGTAATGTTTTTTGGGGGGTCATTATTGCATGTGGTTATGTTTTGGTCTAGAATGTTCTAGTGGTTGAAGTCTCTTATTCTCCTATTTGTTGATCAACAACAAAAGACTTCATTGATAAATTATGTGGCATTAGGAGAAGCTTAGTAGCCTATTTGTATGTGTGTAATTCCAATGGAGTTGGATTTTGAGTATTTGTGTGAAGTTTTTGCAACTTTGTGCGATGCATTATGTAGCCTTATATTATGGGGGTAATTCCTAGAGTCACTATTGTCATGTACTATTCACAGCCCCAAACGTTAGCAATTTCAGCCCCAACTATATCTAACCTAAACCAACCTTAAACCTTCCCATACATATTATCCTTCAATTTAACCATTAAAAAACCCTGAACTCCTAAATTAACCGCTGTCTAAACCTTCCAACATGATCCTCTCTGCAAATCTAGTGACCTGCCCTTTTCAAAATCAAGCCAAATCTCAAAACCTTTTTGTCCTACATCAATCAAACTGTTTATGAAACTTGTTTTTATGATATTGGACATGTATTCTTTTTCTTCTTTTCTAGTCTTTTTTGAACTTGATTATCCATAGTTTTCTATTATAAAGTTTAGGATGCTACATCTCTCTATCAAACTGCATTTATGTCCTTGTTGAATTGCTTATGATACCGTTGGCAGCATTTTGAATCCACTCCAACACTTGAACTTTGTTAAGATGACAGATTGGATATTTAGCTAATGATTCATGTATACTATTAGCAGCTTGACCCTTCCTTACAATATTAACAAGTCTTATGTTACAGGTTGCTGAAGTAGTACTACCGGAAGGCCAAACCTTTGATTTTTCAATGGTCATGCACTTGGTGACAATCTTGTCCAATAGGTCTTCTGATGAACTGAAAGGCTTCATGTGCATTGTACGTCATACACGCCCCTTTAAATTCCTATTATTTCTTCTCATGTGTTATTTTGCATTGCTATGCACAACATTTTGACTTGCCTATGCATTTAAACCCAGAAGGGTCTGTTATGAGCTGGCCATTCATTCTCTTATATAATTTACTATTGCTACCTTATTTCGATTCTAGGTATACAGATCAGTTGCAGATGTTATTGGTTCCTATTCCAAGTGGATATCTGCTTTCCAAACTAATGCTAGATCCTTATTGTAAGAAAACCTTCCTTCTATATTGTAAATAACATAATATAGACCCGCATATAATATGCACTTGTGCATGTGTTTGTGTGTTATATTGTCATATGCACTTTCGTGAACTTCATTTTAAATTAATTCGTGTATCAATGCCTAAATATTTGATGTCATTTTTTAGTTCTTTTATTTTTTGAGTAGATTTTCTTCTTCTTTTTTCACCAATCCTGCACTTTTTTGTGTCTGGCATTCAACTGATTTGCTACTTTCAGATTATTTCTTGCTGCTGGGATTTCGGAACCTCTGTCTTCAAATGCTTGTGCGTCTGCTTTGCGTAAATTTTGTGAAGATGCTTCTGCATTAATGTGTGAACCCTCAAATTTGGAAATTTTAATCTGGATTGGGGAGGTAAGTTGCTTTTCATGGTAAAAGAATTCACTTAATACTTCATTTTATACTTTTTAATATCTCTATGTTTAGAATAATATGTTGAACGTGAACCTATCTTGACATTAGAATATTACTCCCTCCATCCCATTTTGTGTTGCATGGTTGACCATGTACCATTTTGTAGAAAAGGATCTTTGACTAAAAGGATAAAATAGCCTTTCTTCTATTTGAGTAACCTTTTTTTTTATTTATAAAATTCTAGAAAAGGATGATGTGGGAAATGATTATTTTAACTTTTTAAAGTATGACATAAAATGAGATTGTTTGAAGTAGAAAGTCATACCTGGTGCACAAGACACAAAATGGTTTGGTGGGAGTATTGTTTTCCTTTTGGTGTCTTTTTTTGGCTTAGCAGAATCTTATGTATTTTTGTTTGAGAAATTTGTTGTTCTTGAGATATTCTTTTTTAAAGCTTCAAGAAAACTGTTTTAGTTGACCATGCATAACTAGGGCTTCGTTGGAAATATGATTATATTGTCAAAGATATCGGGTGTGTTTGGTTTGTGTTTTGAAACATGTTTTTGGAAGAAAATTTCCAAAAACATGTTTGGTTACAAATTTTCTCAAAAAAATTCTAAAATTACTTCTCTCTTTATTACACATCAATCAATCATTTTTTTGTCTCTCCTCTCTTCTTCTCAATCACTTTTTCTCTCACACACATCTACTCAATTACAACAAAATATCAAATCATCCCAAACTCTAAAACTCCAAAACTATTTTCAAAATATACAACCAAACAAACTAAAAAAATTTCTAAACTCTCTCCAAATTTTTTTTTTTTGAAAATTTATCTCAAAACACAAACCAAACACACCCATCATAATATATGAAGATTCCATGATTTGTACATATTATGAATTTTTTGTATCTTTGATTTATTTCAATTCCTTAACTGAAGGGATTTGATTGTATCTCTTATTCAATACATATGGTGTACCATGTAAACAAGAGTATGAAATTGAGTGAATAAAAGATGTAGCCCCCTAGGGCTTTGTGTGTATGGATGTAGGCCAATATTGGCCGAACCACGTTAAACCTTTGAGTTCTTTCTTTTCTTTTCAGTTTTTTTGTCTCTATTATCTCTCCATATTCAACCTTATTGCCTTGTTATTCAACTAACTTTATTGTAGCATACAATCTTAGTATATTTGCTTCTTATTCTTCGACAGTCTCAGAACTTGTTTTTGCCGTTGGAATATTGGTGCATTTGGAAATTTTAATTCTCCTCTTTTTTTTCAAGCATAATATGTTGTGGTCCTTTTTTTTCTTTTTTTATTATAAAAAAAGTACATTTTCTTAGGGATTGGAGAAAAGGCACTTACCTTTGGAAGATGAGGAGGAAGTTGTTGGTGCAATTACTCTAGTACTTGGCTTTGTTCAGAACAAGGAGATAAGGAACAACTTGTTGGCTAGAACTCTCTCTCCTAGTTATGAAGCTATAGGGAAACTTGTAAGCTTTCCTTGGTCTTTCATAGTTTCTTTATTTACCTGATAGTGATGATACCTATTTTTGGTTGCAGCCATCCATTGAATGGCATTGTGTATTAAGCTTCTGTTTTTGTTTCATTTTGGTTTGTCATTCTATGAGTGTTTTGTACTTTGTAACACCCTGTCCCACATCGGAAGTTTGCATGGGTGATCTTGGGCATATAAAGCACCACTACCTTGCTACCAAATAACTTGGAGTTAAGCTTTTGGGTATTGTTGGTCGACTCACAAGTTATTTGGGCCAGCAAGTAGTGGGGCGTTACAAATGGTATTAGAGCCGACCCATGCACACAACCATGTGGGCCACTTATCCTGGGCTGGTCACGAGCTTGTTGTGGTATTTTGATTGATTATAGACCCTCGCGAGGACGGAAGGATTTATAAGTGGGGGAGTTTGTAACACCCTGTCCCACATCGGAAGTTTGCATGGGTGATCTTGGGCATATAAAGCACCACTACCTTGATGGCATTGTGTATTAAGTTTCTGTTTTTGTTTCATTTTGGTTTGTCATTCTATGAGTGTTTTGTACCCATTTGGCAAATGTTTTTTTTTTTCCGGTCTTTTTCAGACTTTTTTTTTTGTGTCGTCAATGATTTTTTTCTTCCAAATTTTTGACACAAGTTTCTACTCTTTAGGTGCTTCTAGACTAAATGGCACTCAAAATTAAAAGAAACTGGACCAAATTTGAAGAAGGTTCACTCAAGTAAAAAAGTTACATTTCTCCCCCTCCAAAATAGATATAATATTTTAATAAACTCTTTAGGACAGTTTCTTCAAAAAGTGCCTAAAAATATAAATAAATAAATTGCACTCAATTTAGTTCCCATTTGATGGTGGTTTAGGAGGCGTAGATTGGATACATGCCTAACCTTTGGCATAATTTACACAAAGTGGCTACCCACAATTTTGAACCTACAACCTCAAGGTTAGTAAAATACATAAATTGATAAAAAGTTCACTAAAGGAAAAAAAAATTTGGAGAAAAAAAAAAAAAGAAGCATTGGCCAAATGGGGGCCTAGTTTCGTTGTCTTTTCACTAAAAAGGAAAAAAGAAAAAAAAATTGCATTCAATGTGTTTTTAGGGAAAAGAAAATGAGGGGTTTGGTGGGTGGGGGGGGAGGGGTTGTTGAAGAATGCATACACTAACACCTTTTATCTAACATTTTAAATTATTATCTAGAAGCCTAGAAAAGTATTTTAAATAGTGTATTCTAGTGGGTATTCAAGTTAATGGTTTTTTAGGAACTAACCAGATGAAGTGAATCAAAAGCTACTTTTTAGGTGAAGAAGAAGAAATTCTAGTGGGTATTCAAGTTAATGGTTTTTTAGGAACTAACCAGATGAAGTGAATCAAAAGCTACTTTTTAGGTGAAGAAGAAGAAGATAGTGGGTGGAAAAGCTGTACTAAAGATGACAGTACACAGTATTTTTTTTTTTAACACCAAATTGTTTTGACAGTGTGGCCCCAGTTCAGTATCTTCAGATTCTTGGCATGGATTCTCAAAATTGGGTTAGGAATATTTTATTGTCAACAAATAAAACAAATAATGAGATCAAAGAGGATCTTGATGGTCAAAGTTAATTGGTGGATTTTTATATAAATCAATTTTATCTCAAAACCAGTGAATCAATTGGGAATTAGTATTTGTTTAATGGTTTTCAGTACTAAGCCTTCCAATGCAGTCTTGTTTTTAAAACTCTAATATGTAGGTGCTAGATTATGTAGTTAGTGGTTGCTAACAATGCTGATTGGAATTTGTTGTTGAAAAGAAAGAGTTGTTCTTATGTTCGTCTAGTCTTAAATGTGACCTTCTAAGTTAGTGGACCTCTAACTTAGTGAAGTCATTTTGCTTCTTATCCCTCCCCTATTGCCCTGACATTTCTCAACACCTGAGTACACTACTAGCAATAGATCAGGTGGTATGCTGTTTTCACATCCCTTAAATGTATAGTTTTCCTTTTAACTTATTAAAAAAAAAGAAAAAGAAAAAAGAAGCCTTTTAGGATGTGGGCAAGTAATTTTGGTCCACAATTTTGTCTGAAGTTGCACCTGGTTCTAGGTCTCTACAAAACCTAACCAGGGATCAGTATAAAGTAATGAAATGAGAAGGAAGAAAAAAAACTTGGATTTCACCCAACTTGTCAGAAGCCTTTTGGTTTATACTATCCAAAAAAAAAAAAAAAAACATATTCCATTAATCAAAATTTCATTTGGAACATCTACTTCAGAGCAGATTTCCCATGTTTACAAACTCTGAATTCTGCAGACAAAATATTTTATAAATTAAGTAATAAATTGTCAATGCTTACAAGTTGAAGTCATGGTCAATATATAGGTTTTTCCCAACTCTTTGAGCTTCCCTTCTTCTATTTTTAACGTGGTTTGTATCTTGAAAAAGAAATAGTGAGTGGAGGTTTTGACAGCAACAACTCATTGAGTTTTGGCTTAAACTAGCACAATATCAAACTTAGAGTCAATCTGTTGATTTGAATTTTCACAATTCTAGACAAAGTGGTAATTCCATTAGTAAACAGTTGCAAATTATTCATTATTTTTTAAATCCATCCCAGCTAAAATTTTGAGTATCCTTTCTTTTAGATTGAAGATGATCACGAGCATTCTTTGAGGCAGAATCCCGCTACTTATACACAAGTAGTCAACTCTGCAGCAAGAGGGTGGTACAGGTTTGTTCTCAACTTGACTATGTTGAATCGCTCATGTGTGATTTAAAATATGGCCAAGAATGTGTCTGGCCCAAAGGCCAGTATTTCCTTATTAAAATATGCGTAGCCCCAACTTGGACTGCTTCCTAAGAGCATGACAAGTTATTGCTGTGTGGAAAACTTGCTGTCAATTTTACTACTCTTGATATTTGCTTTCACTTCTACTTTCCAGTCAAAGTATTGGATTTTGCAACCCAGGCATGTATAAGACTGTGCCTTTTGACGTAATTTGTTTTTCCTTTCTATGATTTCATCTCGACTTAAAAGAGCCCTATTTCGCTTTAAGTAAATAATTGTCTCCTTGCAAAAAATATATACTTACAAATTGAACTCCATTTTTTGGTTACCTGGTTTCAGGATGGGAACTATATTCAGTCATCTTGCAACACCTTTGTCAACTGGTCCTACAGCAGATGATCCCATCTATGCACTGCTGGGGGTTTTCTGGCCAATGCTTGAAAAACTTTTTACGTCAGAACACATGATGAATGGAAGTTTATCAATGGCAGCTTGCAGGGCTCTTTCACAAGCAATTCATTCCTCGGGTATTGGTGCTTCTATTTTCTAATTTCTTTTTAATATTAAGGTTGATTTCTTGCTAAACCTGTAACGTGTTGAGCACTTCCTTTTCATGCAATTTGAATGTCTTATTTGCAGGCCAACACTTTGTAACACTATTGCCCAAAGTATTAGATTGCCTCTCCACAAATTTTGTGTCATTCCAAAGTCATGATTGCTACATTAGAACAGGTGAGCTGTTTACATCAAATCAAACAGAGGACCATGTGATGGGAATCGGTGGTAGTGGTATCTTTAGTTTTATTCAAGTAGTTTCTTTCATGGGAACTGCAATTTACATTGCATGAACTGATGGCATAGTGATTTTATGGTTATGCATAAATCTGTTTGAGCTGTTCATCGCTGTTCTTTATGTGTTCATTTCGCAAAGCTCAATACATAACACTTATCTAAGTACATGAGATGATAAATATAGGTCCTTTCTGAATCTAACAAATGCCCGGAGGTCATTTTATTAGGTGCATCCATTGATTTGGAACAACATTAATGCTTAAAGGATGATTATAGAATTCCAATTGAAACTTTTCCAAATTGTTGCTTTTATTTTTATCTTCATACTATATAAAAGTTCCCCTTGAACTTTTTTTTTTTTTTTTTCAAACTCAAGCTCCTTTATAACACAGCTTAATTAACTTTGAAGCCTCTTGCATGCAAACAGACAGCAATAGGAAAATTCTATTTGACATATAAGGCGGATAAGCTCCAGCCGGCTGATATATATGATATTTCATTGCTTATAAAAAAAGAAAATAACGAAAAATCCAATTTACTCCTATGTGGTATGGTTTCTGAGCACGTTATCTGCTGTCGTTTAAAAGTAGCCAATTACCCTATGTGGTTTTGGACTAAAATGCTACCATTACATTTTCTGTCCAAACTGATAGAATGTGAGGCTCACGCACCTATTTTGAGAGTTGGGAAGAAAAAAAAGTCAGTTTTAATGGGAAAAGACAATTCTGCCCTTTCTTCATCTTCTACCTAAGAAAACCTTAACCCTAAACCACCCACCCCTCCCACCACCCTTATTAACATTATCGTCATTGGGAGATTGGAGGGGACTATGATTGGTTTCTTTACATTGAAGAATGTTTTTAGAAATTAGTGGTTCCTCACTTGATTTTTTGTGAGTTCTATGGTGGTGACTATTGGTGTAGGAGTGGCAATGGAAGTAGAATTGGGTTGGAGGGTGTTTTGTAGTGGAAGAGGTATGAGAGATGGTTATTTACAGTTGCTAGAGATGGTGAAGGAGGCAGCGTGTGGGGGTAGCTTGGGCTAGTCAAAGAATGAATGGACACGTGACTTCGTCAAGCATGAGGGGCAATCAAATGAATTTACAAGAAGGGGAAGTGATGGATTTTGCCTCACGAGAACCAAAGATTCCTAAAGGCGGGTTTTTCCTGTTCTCGGGTTAATGATTTAGACATGGGTTAGATAGGTTGGAGTAGGGTTGGTAAAGGATTTTTGGCTTCGGATGAAAGGGTTCGGCCACAAATTAGAGTGGGCCCATTATTTGTGTGTGAGAGTAATGGGCCATTACAGCCTCTTAAAGAGGTTGGGTTTTGGTTATTTACTACGCTAAAAGACAATCAAGATGGATTGAAGTTTTAGGAAGTGTCATTTGGCTAAGAAAGGGAAGTGGCCCGACGTGGTGAACAAAAAGAATCAAAGAAAAAACTAGTTAAAGCTTTAAAGCTGATTCAACCTACGTCAAGAGAGGAGCCTAGCGGTCCATAGTTTTATGCAAGCCGAGTTAAGGTTAAACCTCAATTTGTGGAGCTGTTCAATAGTCGAATGTTGCTTTACTCTATTGGGCTGTCATTTAGGACTTAGAGGCCTAGCTAGAGTTGATTCAGACTAGGGCATGAGGGGAGCCCATTGGTCAAGAGTTTTGAGGGGGTTAATGTATTGTGGGACAAAGTGTATCATTGGGCATCTTCTCTCATTTTAAAGGGGTTCCGTCTTCCCTCATATGTATGGATTGGAAAGCGGTTTGAGATGTATGGATTTTTTTTTTTTTGATGTAATGGCTGTCATTTCTTGAAAAGGAAACCTCGTCCTCTTTTTCTGTTTTTTTAATTAATAAAAGTTTATTTTGTTGCTGATAAAAAAAAGAAGAGAAAAGAGTTTTGTGCAAACCCAATTAAGGTTTAAGCCCAATTTGTAGAGGTGTCCGAAAGCTGGAATTCATTTAACTTTGTCGGGTCATCAATGAGGACTCAAAGACCCAACGGCAATGGGCTAGGGGTGGGGAACACTTTGGAGGGCATTGATCTGGCTAGTCAAGGAGCTTCTATGATTTCAAGTGAGTCTTGTCTTTTTTCTTCTAATCATTCTTCTTCTTCTATTTGGGTGAAGACGGTAGGGGATGTAGAAGTTTTGAAGGAGGGTGAGGATATTGGGTCTGTGTTGGTGCAAATGGATGAAATGGTTTAGAAGAGCACCAATAGGGGAACTGAGGAGGTAGAAATGAGAGGGGAAGAAGAGACTTCAAGGAAAGCCCTGGTTGGAGTTAATGGTGGTGTAGCATTGGTGTTCGTAGGAGTTAAGTATTGAAGATGAGGTACTAGTATTAAGGGTCAGTGTTAATGCTAGGTGTTCGAAGGCAGGTGAAGCCAAAGAAAAAATGGAAATTGATGTTAGATGATGAGTGAGCACCGTTTGTCAAGAAAGCACAATATTAAAGTTTTCAATAGTTGGGAACAGGCGTTGGGTCTGTCTTTTGTAATATTTCTTATTTTCTTTTTTCATTTTATTTTATTGTATAAGGGTTGTGCCCTCAGCACATTTTCTAATACAAATTTAATCAAAACGAGAAAATCAATTCTTGGAAGGTTTTTTTCTTTTTTGGTTAGCCTGGGGAAGGGGGAGTCTTGCTTATGGTAAGGCTTGAGCCCTTGACTTCTTAGTGAGGTGCAAAGGTTTTGGCCAACTAGACTAGCTCCAGTTGATTAATGCTTGAGAGGTCTATGCCAAGGAGACACACGCTTTCCCTTCTACTAAAATAAATCTAGCCATATTATAAACCATGCCTAATGACATATATTTGGTGCATTCAACCAAAGAAAAGATGCCCAAGGCCGAGACCATTTTTAAAAAAAATGAAAATTCAGTCTTCCGTAAGCTTGGGTTCCGACGGTAGCCCACACCATTATTAAGATACCAAACCTAGAGACCTATGCTTTGGCATGTACCTGTGCCTCCCAAATACTTTTTCCAAACATCCCAGCTGGAACCCAATATTAAGGTTGTATGGTTGAGTAACTCTTCTTTGTAATTTTTTTTTTCTAGCTCATTTTATTGGGTTTTTTACTTTTCTCTTTACCTCTTTATTTTTTCATTTCTTTTCTCACCTCCCGATTAAAGGGTACATGATCTTTGAATTGTCTTATTCCTGAAGACATGCACCGTAACATGGTTCAGAATGTTATATTTCAATCTAAAAATGAGCTGTTGATGTTAAAGGCACAATCTAAAACATCTTGTCCAAGCATTCATGCTATTTTTTTTTTGTTTGCATTCAAGTGATATTACGCCCTGTTGTCACATAGATGGTTGGGCTTTGGAGGAATACAGTTTGAAGCATACTGTATGATTGGCCCAATTATTGGGTTATATTTTGTGCAAATAACATTCCTGTTATTGTCTTGTGTTTACCTTCTTTCGCTGATGCAATAAATCATATTTCTACTAATTTCAATTTGTTTTCTTGGCCATGTCATCAATCCTTTTCAGCTTCTGTTGTCATTGAAGAATTCAGTGGTAAGGAGGAATATGGACCTCTATTCATCAGTACTTTTGAAAGATTTACGTATGCAACATCCATAATGGCTCTTAATTCTTCATATATATGTGACCAAGAACCTGATCTAGTGGAGGCTTACACTAATTTTGCATCTACCTTTGTTCGTGGCTGTCCTAAGGTTCAATATACCTTTCATTTAGTTTTCGTGGCTAAGCTCTCTCTCTCTCTCTCTCTTTCTCACCCCCACACACACATGCATAAGACACTCGAGCAACAAATTTTTATACTAGCACTCTTTCTTTTTTTCTTGTGAATTATGTGATACTGAGAGACAAGTTGAGTCCCTTAACCCGCATTGTGATGTCTCAGGAAGCACTAGCTGCCTCTGGTTCCCTTCTTGAAGTATCCTTTCAAAAGGCAGCTATATGCTGTACGGCAATGCATCGTGGAGCAGCACTGGCAGCAATGTCATATTTGTCCTGTACGTACATCGATAATACTTTCGATTTCATGCTAATTGTCACATCAGAGATAGTCTATCAAACTTTCATTTTGGCCCAGAAAACTTAATCGTCCAGACAACCATATTTAGCACCAAATCCTCAGCTAAGGCCTTGTTTGGAAACATGCTATTTTAATAACTTTTTGGCTAAAATATGATGTAAAAAAAACTAGTACGTTTGGAGTGAATTTTTGATTTTTTACGAAAAGATATGCAAAAAGTAAAGAAAAAAGGGAATATTTGACTTTTTGGTATAGGTTATAAGTTTTTTGGTTTTTTTAATAACTTTTTGGCTTTTAGACTAAAACACTTGCATGCCAAACGAGGCCTAAAAGTGAAATAATTTTCGCATCACTTGCTATAGAGGTTGTCTTCAGCTTTGTCATGTTTTCTTGTAATATTAATTACGTGTGACACGTTTACTGATAGTTAATTAAAACTTATATGAGTTTGTGTGCCTTCAAAGGCACTCTTCAACAAGTAATATGCAAGATTTTATTTTATTTATTTTTCTGTTGAGGATGATAGTGGGTCTCTGCAATAACATGGCTGTCTCAGTTGATGTACATTTCAAGGGCTGATCTGAAATTTTGTTACAACAAGCTGCCTCACAGATGGAGAACTCAAGTAGCTCCAATTGGGTAGTAATAAAGGATGAGAAATACTCTCTGCCTTGGGGGGGTAGGGTGAAGGATTAATGAGGTTAAAAAATTTTCATGGAGTTTTGATGTTGAGCCGATTATAGTTGGGCATGTCATTAAGAATTCAAGATTATTTGCGGGAGATTTGGCGAATTATAAACTGGTGAAGAGGGAATTTAGACTTACCAGTTGTATTGGTGGATAATAGGGTTGAGGAGGATGGTGATTTCAAGGCCAATGATGATGATGATGGATTCTGCTGACTGGCAATGTACTAGCAATAGCTTGTAATGATGGTCTATGATTGTGATGTAGTGAGGTGGCCAAAGATAATTGCAATGCTTGTTCTAGATGCAATTTTGGTAAGGTTATGGTGGTTGATGGAGATGATTGTTCGGTGAGGGTTGTTAGGTTGATGATGTATGACGGGGAAACAAAAAGGGGTTGATGGTGGGCAATATTCTCTTCTTATGAGTGTGACCATTACGATTTCCATAATTTGAGGCAGCTTCTACTATCTATACACCTTCAAAGACACGATAGCTGTTAAAAAGTGAAGAGAAAAGAGGAGTAGGAAAGTGTACGGGTCAGTCTTAAAAGAGCTGACTTAAATTAATATAAGACCACCAAAATATATGGAAGTACAAAAAATGGCCCAATTACACGTGTTATTCCTGAAATCATGGTTGTTAGAATCGTACTATTCATGATTCGATTCATATGAGTTTCAACAAAAACGATTCTAATCGTGCTATTGAACCGGAAATTTAGTGAATCGTACGATTCCATGTACGATTCACTGCGATTCTCTACGATTTAGTACTATTTTTATTTTTATTTACATAATACATGAAACGACGTCATTTTTTGCTAAACTATGAAGATATATAGAAGAGATTAATTAGTTATATTGACTAGCGACCGCTCATGCAATGTGTGTGCAATTCAAAAAAAAATTGTAATAGTATAAGAATAATAATATACAAAAATGCAAATATAGTATTTGTTGCTCAAGTGGTAAAGGCTTGCTTTGCAAACTCATGATCTGGATTTCAAGTCTTGCCCTCTTCTTTTGTACATAAATATCAACTACAGGGGTATTTTGGGAAAACTCAAAATGTGTGACACAAAAGTGTCAACACCATCGCAGGCCTTCTCTTTATATAATAGAATAGATATACGTGTTTTATTTGTATATACATATATATAATTTAGTGATGTTGATAATTTACTTTATTTTAAATATTGTATGTATTTTTATATGTGTATAAATATATAGATTTGTATATTATATTAAACAAAATGAATCTTACAATTCATGATTCGATACGATTCATTATTTTAGCAGAACGATTCATGATTCGATTTGGGATTTGACAACAATCCCTAAAATGTTATAGCAATAGCGTTTCTACTCAAGAAATTTACTCAATGTTGACTTTGTATGGGTCTCAAAGGTGTTACCTTGCTTTCTGTGGACATTGACATATCATTACTTATCTATTAGGTTATGTTATGAAATTAACCTGATTGTGTAGGCATCTTGCTTACCTCACCTTCTGCATTTGTCTTGATGTTTGTTACTTCTTTTGCATTTGTTTTGAAGTTTTTCTTGTTTTGGTATTTCTGTGCTTGATTTCACATGTCAATTTACCTGCTAGGTTTCTTGGAGGTTGGCCTCACATCTCTGTTGGAATCCTTGACTTGTGCCTCTGAAGGATTATTTGATGCCATGGCAATTCAGGTCATATCTCATAGTGGTGAGGGACTTGTATCTAATGTGGTATACGCTTTACTTGGCGTTTCAGCAATGTCAAGGGTAAATACAAGATCCTTTAAATTTAAATTGTCAAATAATATAAAAAGAATAAGAACAATAAAAATAACTGGCCATATTTTTCTTTAAAAATATTCACAATTTATTTAGAGATTTGTGGATGTTGTACTCAGTTTGCATCTGAAGTAGCCAACTCCTGTGACATGAGTACAAGCATGGGATGCTACCTTACATGGACATGTGTCGAGTATGGGTGCATTTCTTGTGCATTAGATCTGTATAACCTCTAAATATTAGAATAGGAACACAACTAAATGATTGAAGTTGATTTAATTTCTTCTTTTATACCCTGAAGGCTGAATGAAGTTGGGTTTCTATGATGCAACATGGCTGACCAGACATGATGTTTAGATAGAAGGTTTTCCATGTCATGTCTAGCACAGCTACTTCAGAAGTTAAGTGGCTGCATAATTATCTGGAGTTTTCGACTTTCCAAGTTTATTGGCCGTAATCAACCTACATCAATCAGGAACAATACAAATTAAGAGTTACACATAAGAACATGAATGAAAGGATTGAAAATTAATAAAGACAGTATTTGGCATTTTAACAGTTTTGATACTTCTAATCCATCCCACCACTCCTCTACGTCAAGCCAAGGGTTATATATTATTAAAGAGTTCTCTTTGTTGTTCTATTTTTCATCCCCATGAGAGATGATTCTTTTTTTTGATAAATAAAAAAGTAGTACAAAGAGGACAAAAGAGACAAGAGGTCTACCAAGTAAATAAATAAAAAGAAAATTGCAAATCACACACAACTCTCCAATCTCTAGGAATCAAAATCAATGGAATCCTCTTAAAAGGGTTAGACTCTGCAACCCAAAAGGATGTTATATAACAAATTTTATCCCATAAAACCCCCATCTTCAAGTTTGTTCTAAAAAATTAGCAGTGTTGTGGCATGCAAATGCTGATGTTGTGTGCTTACAAGAAGCTAAGATGGAGGTGTTGGGAGTGGAGTTGATTTTTGTGGGAGGGAGACAGATCCTTGATGCAATGTTGGTTGCCAATGAGTGTGTGAATTCTCGGGTCTTGTAGGCCCGCCGTGGAATGGACTTATTTGCCGTCGGTAGGTATGGCGGGTGGGATTCTTCTTTGTTGGGATAGGCGAGTGGTGGTGAAGGCAGAGGAGGAGGTTAGAAGTTTTTCCGTTTCTTGTTTGTTCCGTTGTGTGGAGGACCAGTTTTAGTGGGGTTCTACTGGGGTGTATGGGCCGGTGCAGAATTCAAAACAGGGTGTGTTTCTGGCAAAGTTGGAGACTATTGCGTTTCGATGGGATGAACCTTGGTGTGTGTGTGGGGGGGGGGGATTTTAATGTTGTTCGATGGCCATCGGAGAAGGCGGGAAATACTCAAAGTTCGGGTGCAATGAGAGCCTTTTGTTCTTTCATAGATACTTTGCAATTACTTGATTTACCTATGCAGGGGGGACAATTTATGTGGTTAAATGGGCAAAGGATGTCTTGTATTGACCGGTTTTTGGTCACTGGAGGTTAGGAGGAGCACTTCTTGGAGGTTGTTTAGCATCGCTTACCTCGGCCAGTGTCCGACCATTGGCCTATTGTGCTTGACAGTGGGGGGATTCGGCGGGGTCCTACGCCTTTTCGCTTTGAGAATATATGGTTGCAATCAGACGGCTTTTTGGATATGGTTCGAGCCTGGTGGAATGGATGTGTTTTCTGGGGTTCCTAGTTGTGTGTTGGCTTATAAACTAAAAATTCTTAAAGGAGACTTGAAGCGGTGGAATAAGGAGGTGTTTGGGCATTTAGAGGGCCAAAAGGCGGAGTGGTGTCTTTACTGCAGTCCTTGGATGAGCTAGAGTTACAAGGGGGGTTGTCTAGTGAGGATGTGGTGAGGAAGGAAACGACTAGCCAGGACTTTGTTCGTATTTCTCGGATGGAGGAGGTGTGTTTTCGACAAAAATCTAGGTGTTTATGGTTGAAGGATGGGGATCGGAATACGAAATTCTTCCATCGGATAGCGAATGTCCATCGGAGAGTTAATCAAATTAGTAGGATGCAAGTGGATGGTCGTGAGCTTCACACGGATGGGGAGATTACGGACAGGGTTGTGGGCTTCTATCAGTATTTATTTCGTAACCAAGATCCTACATAGAGGCCAAGTTTGGCAACTGTGCCGTTTGATGTGATTTCAGGAGAGGATTGGGCCTAGTTGGAGCAAGCTTTTTCGGAGAAGGAGGTGTTAGGGGCTTTACGGGCTATGAGTGGTGATAAAGCTCTGGGTCCGGATGGTTTTACCATGGCTTTCTTCTAGCATTGTTGGAGTGTGGTTAAGGGCGATGTGATGGCTACGCTGGAGGATTTTTTTGTGTTTGGCAGTTTGAGAAAAGTTTTAATACGACTTTTTTGGCTTTGATTCCTAAGAGGGGGAGGAGGCTGTAGATGTTCGGGATTTTAGACTTATTAGTTTGTTAGGGAGTGTGAATAAGTTATTGGCTAAAGTACTGAACAATCGACTTAGAGGAGTTTTGCTAACTGTGGTTTCTGAGTCTCAGAATGCATTTGTGGGAGGGAGACAGATCCTTGATGCAATGTTGGTTGCCAATGAGTGTGTGAATTCTCGGGTCTTGTAGGCCCGCCCTGGTTTGATTTGTAAATTGGATATCAAAAAGGCATATGACAATATCAATTGGGAGTTCCTCTTGTATGTGTTAGCTCGTATGGGTTTTGGGGAGACTTGGTGTCAGTGGATTAAGTTTTGTATATCGACTGTGCGGATGTCTGTGTTGATTAATGGGACTCCAGCGGGTTTCTTTCCGACTTTCCAAGGTCTTCGCCAGGGGGATCCTTTGTCACCATTGTTATATATTCTAGTTATGGAGGCGTTGAGTAGATTGTTGGATAGAGCTGTGCAGGAAGGGCTTTTGGAAGGTTTTGCGATGGGAAGATTGGCTGGGGTTCCTATTGGTGTATCACATTTGTTATATGCTGATGATGCTTTGATTTTTTGTGGGGCGGAAGTGGAGCAAGTTGGACATCTAAGATGTGTTTTGCTTTGCTTTAAGGCGGTGTCGGGCCTCCGAGTCAACTTGCAAAAGTCAGAGCTTATTCCAGTTGGGGAGGTTGAGAGGTTGCGTACTTTGACGGTAGTGTTGGGCTGTAAAGTCTCGGCGTTGACGGTGACTTATTTGGGTTTGCCGTTAGGGGCGTCTTTCAAGGCCAAAGGGGTGTGGGAGGGCGTAGTAGAACTTGTTCAGCGTCATTTGGCTGGCTGGAAGCACCAGTATCTTTCGAAAGGAGGGCAGTTAACATTGATTAAGAGTGTGTTGAGCAGTATTCCGACCTATTTCATGTCGGTCCATGTTATCCCAATGTCAGTGGCGCAACGGTTGGAGAAGCTACAGAGGGATTTTTTATGGGGTAGTGGTGGAGATGAGTTTCGGTATCATTTGGTAGATTGGGGCCAGATCTGTCTACCTAAGCAAGCAGGGGGTTTGGGGGTGAGGCGGTTGGTGACTTTTAACAGAGCTCTTTTAGGGAAGTGGCTGTGGTGCTTTGCGTTGGAGTATGATCGTTTCTGGTAGAAGGTTGTGGCGTCTAAATATAGGTTGGACAGAGGGGATTAGATCTCGAGGGATGTGGCTTGTACTCATGGTTGTGGGTTATGGAAAAGGATTTGGCTGGGGAGGGTGGAGTTTTGGAAGTGGGTTGGGTTCACGGTGGGAATTGAGGTGAGGGTTAGGTTCTGGAAGGATAGGTGGTGTGGTGGGGTTTTGCTAGAGACTCATTTCCCGTTGGTTTTTCATATTGCATTTGATCGGGAGGCTACAGTGGCTTCTTATTTGGGAGGTAAAGGTACGGTGGTTTGGGATATTCAGTTATGGCGGAAGGTGCAAGATTGGGAGGTTGCTCAGTTCGTGGAGTTGTGGGGTTTTTTATATGGTTTAGGAATCACTGGGGAGGGACAAGATGGTTTGGTGTGGAGTTTTGGTTGGGGGGGGCGCTAAGGGGTGTTTTACAGTTGCGTCATTCTGTTGGGGATTGGTGGGGGATTGTGGAGGGGTATTTCCTTGGAAGAGTGTTTGGGTTCCGGGGGTTCCATCTAAGGTTGCGTTCTTCATGTGGACAGCAGGTTTAGGAAGAAATCTCACTTTGGATAATTTGATGCAATGGGGGCATGTTTTAGTAAATCGGTGTTGTATGTGTTGTACGGATGTGGAGTCGGTGAACCATTTGTTTCTTCATTGTTCGGTGGCATCATAATTGTAGTATTTTGTTTGCTCATTTTTTGGGACTGCTTGGGTTCAACCAAAGGGAGTGTTGGAGTTGCTTTGGGTTTGGCGGGGTGTTCGGCTTGGGCGTCGACGCCGGCAAGTGTGGTTGTTGGTGCCATTTTGTTTAATGTGGCTTGTTTGGTTGGAGCGGAATAGGCGCACCTTTTCCAAGGTGTCACATGGTGTCTCTTGGTTAGAGAATCGTCGTCTTGTAGTTTTGTATAGTTGGGTGGAGTGGAAAGTTGATTCGGACTTATTTGTCTTTTTAGATTTTTTAAATGATGTAATTGGCTAGTGCTTGCTTGTTTGTCCCTAATTGGGGTGGCAGTCTTGTATTTGTTACATCTTCTTGATGCTTTTTAATAATATTTGATTATTTATCCCAAAAAAAAAATTATCGCATTCTAACCAAAGAAGCAAAAACACGGCAAACTACATCTCCAAAAAGATCTCCAGGGAACATGAGCCTTGCTAATTAGACCAAAATCCCAAAAATCAATGATTTAGAAATGAACACAAGGAGGGACGACCCAATCAGCCTCTGCCAAATGAAATAATCTTTACCTTAAGGCAAAAGCCACGTGACGATGCAAAAAAGAGAGAATCAATACTCTCCTTATCCCTCTTATACATAATGCACCATTGTGGAAGAAGATAGCTAATAGGCCCTTCTTTTTTTTTCTGTACCATATCATTAGTATTGAGTTTCATGTGAGCTAGACCCATGAGAGATAATTAATTCTAGTTCGGTCGTAATTTTTCTTTTATTTTGTAAAATTTAAGATATGAATTCGTCATGCCCCTACATGTCCTTTAGGCCGTATTTGATTTTTTTTTCCCTCTATTGTCCAATAAAATGTGCTATGTTTGTAATGCCATCTTTTTCCATGCAACAATATAAAGAAAAAGAATTGGATTGATTGATGTACTGTCTTAAGCTTAATGGGTTAAAAACAAATTGTTTGTAAACGCAATGAACCAATTCAATGTCCATGTCTAGTCCTAACACTGTATTAGTTATGTGTTTTTTCCCCTCACATCATAGTTTTACATTGTTACCAAAATACAGCCAAGAAACTATTGTTGTTATTTTCCTTATATTATAGGTTCATAAGTCTGCAACGATTTTGCAACAATTGGCTGCAATATGCAGTTTAACTGAGAGAACAACGTGGAAGGCTATTCTTTGTTGGGAGTCTTTGCATGGATGGCTACACTCTGCGGTCAGTCTCTCTCTCTATATATATATAAATATATGTGTGTGTGTGTGTGTGAGAGAGAGAGAGAGAGAAATGCATTGAAATAGTAAGGTTGAAATAGAAATTGATGATCCTTTAAACGAGATGCACAAATCTGTTTAGACTGGCCACCAATTTACATCTGAGTATCCTGATGACAAAGTCCTGTGAGTGATTGTTTAAGTGTTGATAGCAAGTCTTCATTTGTTCATCAAAATACCTCATCAATGTTTGATGAATTTTTTAATACAGTGAGTTCAACTATTATAGACAATTAGTTTATGCTTTGTAATCAGTTTTTCAAGTACTTGTTAGCGGTATTTTGGTCATTGTACTTTTACTTAAAAAGGTCGAAGTGATTTTAAAGTGAGTCATGTGATGGCTTAGGAGCAGATAGATTATATTTAAATAAAGAGCTTATTTTTGTTAGGGCAAACCCTAGAGTTTTCAAGGGATTGTTCTAGCTTGCATCCAACTTTTGGTCCATCGTTATGAGATTATAAACTGCTATAGCAGCTTTCTCCCTCACTTTGTTTTGGGATTGAGACATGGGTGTTTAAGTCAATATTTAACTTAATCTAGGTCTCTAAACTCTCTTATCATTTTAGTGGACTGCATCGACTCTATAGCAAGATAAAGGGAAAGCTTGCTTAGTTTCTTGGTTACCCTCATGGAACTAACACTACTAACAAAATTGTGGGAATCTGTTAGAATCATGGAGCTTTTTATTTTTATTTTTATTTTTAAGAGTTTCTTTCTTCTGGCATCAGTTTGTTAAGGCTAGGGCTGCAAATGAACTAAGTTGTTCATGAACAGGCTCGGCTCGAAGGGTTTGAGGTGCCCTTTCTTGACTAGCACCATCATAGCTTGAGATAGAGTCATGTATAGTTGGTTAAAAGTCCTTTGGGATCGGGTGGGGTTGGACGATGTTTGTGTGCTTATGTTGGCAAAGGGTTCAACAGTCTTAGTTGTGGTGACAACACTTACATCTGACGACCTCGCAGCTGTGCTACCACTGGTAGCATTGGAACGGCGAACAAACGACCTTTTTGCCGTCTCCTTCTCATCCGTAATAAGCCCCTACTTCATGGCCTCTTCAATTTGCACTCCCATTTTATGAAGTTCTATAAATGTAAATAACGGGAGCACAATCATTTTCTACAACAGCTTGCCATGCAGATTTTGGATGACCATTCTGATTTGATCCTTCTCAGAAAGCCTTGTGGTCATCATCGAGGCTTTGGCCCTTCACCTTGTCACAAACTCAAAGAAACCCTCCTTCGGCTCTTGGCATGTTGCCTCGAGATCACGAGTTATAACCTCAATCTGTGTATTATAAGAATACTGAACAATGAAGGCCTCAGCCATCTCTTTCCAATTTTGTTTGATAGAATCTTCCAACTTAGCAGACCAAATGGCCGCTATACCCAACATGGTGTGACCAAAAAGAGGTAGCTTCTGTAGTCTAGTTAAGCCCATCGGCCGCAAGATATCCGAGAATAGTCATAAATGAACCATTGGATCTCCAGAACCATCAAAACTATCAATGTACGGCATTTTAAACTGATCCGGTAATGTAACTGCAGAATCGGTGTGCCCATCCTCTATGTCTGGGATGGAGTTAACCCCTTGCGCTCTCTTGAACAACTTTTTCAGTTTATTGACCTTGAGCGCAGTTGAATCAACCTCGAACTCGAACAGAGCCTCGGTCTGATAAACCTGGGCTTTGGAGGTTTGTGCTGGGATTGGCTCTATTGGATTGCCCTGGTTTTCTTGAAAATTGGTAGTATGAGCAGTGGCTCCAGATAGTGGCACAGCCGCAGTGGGTGCATGGGATGCAGAGGTCGTAGTCGGCTTTGGTTACTATTGTTGTAGCCTGGTTATAACCTCGGCTTGACGGGCCGCATCTTGCTGTAGGGTCTCAACTGTCTATTGTAGATAGTGTATTAGTTCTTCTATACTAACTAGGGAATACTGTGCAATTGGAATAGGTGATTGATCTCGTACTGGGTTGGAAGTAGATGCAGGTTTCCAAACTGGACTGGACATAGGTGTGCTAAGGTTTGATTGTTATAGGAATTAGATTGGTGAACTTTGCCTGATTCTCCTCCATCTTGTAACTGGTGAGAGTGAGGTAAACACGGGTTGTCCCCAAACAACATCCCCGCTTTACAAAGTCTTCCGACTCGGGTCTAGAGTACTTTGGGGATATCTGAACTTTCTAAAGCTATGGTTTTAAACTACCTAGCAAAAGAAATAAAGCAAAAAAGCAATAATCAGAAACCGCACAGTGCCTCAACTAAGATGTTATCAACACAGACACGATCAAAGCTGTAGGACTGTACTCCACACTGAATTTTGCCCCAAAACAGATACCAAATTTGCAACTGCTATGCACATTCCTGTACAGTTTCACTGTAAAGCACATACCGGTTAAGAGAGAACCAAAACACCCCTACGAGGGGGTAGGATTACCCTATCCTAGTTTTGTCATGAACTAGGTTTCACTATTTCAATCAAGCGGTTTCACGCAATCTTACATTTTGGGTGAGCATCATGTCCTAGTTTGGAACAGTCTCTATGGCTTTTCTATATACAACTAGGCCAAATGGTTAAAAAGGGTGCCTCGGCAAGACTACCTAATATACATCTCATATCTAACACCAAGAAGTGAAAGGAGGACCAAACGGTACAGTGGTAGTCTATATTTAAGGATTGTGTTCCCAACATGACAGAGCCCACGACCAGTCAGCCTTTTGGCAAGCTTTTGGGCAAGCCTCCGACAAACTGTCTAGGAATATCAGATGGCAAACACAGTGACTGAAGCACACCAATGCAAATGCAATGCAAAGAACATACAAGTGTAGATAAAATTTCACATCATGAAGTTCAAGTCAAGTTCTCTAAATTCCCCTGCGGAGTCACCAGACACTGTAGCTCGACTTTTCTTGCTCCTTTAGAATAGGACTAGCTCTACAGTTCGAACTCCCGTGGTTCTGAATCTGATCTCACAAGTGCAATGTGAAATAGAAAAAATACAAAAGAGTCCAAATTTGGCAAATCTTTTGGAAAATCAATTTTGAATCGAAATGCCAAAAATGGATTGCTTTGCCAGATACAGAGTCGCTACCTAAATATTCTTGAAAAATTTAGGAAACTTCGGACTTGTACCAAAGGCCACTTATCCGTCATCACCAAAGTTGTCTTGGCTCGAGAAGGGAAGGTCATGAATAGAGCATCCCACTCGCCCGATCAAAGATCGGCCTCTACTAGTGATGATGTGAGTCTTATTTTATACTACATGCTCTTGTTCCAATTATTAGGCTATCTTACTATATGTTGCACATAAATATAGACTAATTTGTAAAATTTGGAACGTTTTGATTTCGTATTTGTTTTGAAAATTGTTTCGGATATGTACCACTTGAAAAAGTGATCGCATATGTACATTACTCAAATTATTCCAATTTAAGCAATTAGCCTTCATCTATAGGCATTTAAGCAAGTATATCAATTAAGCACTTAGCCTCACAGCAAGCATGCTAAACATGGCAATAATCACACACATGCGATATGCTAAAGCCCAAAAAATGCTCACCTCGTACTTCAAGGCAAGCCAAAAAGAAACAAAAGAGTTAGAAAACATGCATGCTCCTAACTAATGCAACACCTGCAATATGCAACTAATAGGTTCGGCTACTAATTATGACATGTGAATCAGTTTGATAGTATGCGGTTTAAACATGTAAAAACGACAATGCTTTGTTAGAATGATTAACCGAGCCTTGATGCATGCAAGACAAGTGGATGCAAACACGGGATATGTTAAAAGAAACATGATGTTCTAAACTACCCATTATAAGTAAGTAAATAAAAGGGAGAAAGACGTGGGGTTGGAAGACATAAACATTATTATAAGTTTGGCCCTCGCACAAGAGGGTCCGAATAAATGCCCTAGCTAAGCTATTTACTAATTATTACAAACCGAATGAATAAATTAGCTAAGCTACTTAACTAATTATTGCAACAATGAATTAACTAACTACTTTAGCTAATTAATTAAGTACAACATAAAGCTAACTAATTAGTTACAAGTCTATTATTTACAACATGCTACTATTACAACATTATTTCACGGATCCCGAGAATTGAGGGATGGTTCATGCATGGATGCAGATTTCCACCAGAAAAAGCCCCCGTTTTGCTATCGAAATGTCTCTGTTGCACAGCTAGAAAACTGCACTGTTTTTCCACCTCAGCCTCTGCTCTGCTAGAAAAAGGACACTACTTGGCTGGAAAAAATGGCCGACAACCTAGAAGTAGTGGCTAGCCGGCCACTAATGTTGGTTCTTTCCTGCTGCAACAGAAAACAAATAGAGCACAAATAGAGTATTCTTTAGGCATCCACCCTACCTCTCCTTATCAGTAAACAGGTCAAATGAGCGGTAGGCCTGATTTGCAAGCCACCAATCAACGTAATTTCATTGGGTGATGACTTATGAAACAAGGGATACAATTTCAATAGATGGTAAGGAAAGACCAACAAAACTTCCTCCTTATCATGGATTGATCAAGGGAAGCGGTTGACCTTGGAAACTTGGACCATTTCATTACTAACAAGTATGAAATGAGCCAAGTCTCCATGTGTTCAATTAATGTCCGATTGAACACCAAATCATTTTATTATCTTGCTTCATTTTAACCCCAATTTTATTATTTCATTTTAATTACCTTCCATTCATTATTCAATTAAGTCCAATAATGAGCTTTCAGTCCATTAATGGAGAAAAGTACCAAACCAAATGTTGTTTTAGGCATGAGAGGAAGATCATGCCGTTTGTAATGAACCCCTAAAGGGATTAAACCATTAAGCACAATATCACCCCCTCAAGGTTAAACGACACTCGTTTTGGAGCGACTCTCAAAACAAAGAGAAAAAGCTAAGAAAGAATGGAGGTTACAGAGATGCTTAGAGGTGGACACAAGTATAGAAAGTAAGAAATAAATACTATAAACTCAAATAGGTTGGTGGCTAAGGCCTAAACCACCAAGCATACTATACAAAGCATGAATGAAGCTAACTCGTAAAAACAATCCTAAAATAGTCCAAAAAAGTGCTGGAATTAAGACAAAAACAACTACAACAAGAAGCTAAAATATTAATGGATTAAAACTAGCACACAAGCACAAAGAGGGAAGGCTAACCCCTCCACTTTTAGGATATCAAAACATGATTTTAGCCTCTAAAAAACCACTGAAAATCAGTAGTAAAAAGCGTTAATGAGAAGATGGGAAACACAAGGGCAAAGGCCTTAGAAACAAGGTTCAAAGAAGGGTTGTCAACCCCTCTACCTTTAATGGCCTTAGACCAC